TAAAATATTTTCATCCTTATTCAGTTCTTTCCAATTGTATTGTTCAAATGGTTTGTCCTGTGCTTTCTTTTACTCCTCTATTTTTCAACCTTCTTTTTTTTCTTTTTAAAATCCATAGCGTCGAGATGCTGTAAATATTCCAATGTCAATTTAGGCTTAACAATGTCTTTATTAGCAAATGAAGCCACACTCTCAGCATATGAGATGCATGGGATTTCTTAAGCTGGCTTCTTGGTTGAAAGCCATCTATCCCTCTATTTTCTGCTGAAGTATTACTGTATGTGTGGTAGTGGTAGTCTGGGAGAGATGAGAATTGTCTTGTTCATGCTGTTATAGGTGAGCCTACACATTCATTACAGGAAGGGCAGTCAGCATATCTTTGCAAGAAAACTTAAGGAATTCTCTGAAGTTTTCTCCCTCTGAAAAATGCATCCATAAAATTTTCCACCATTTTTTTACCTTCTTAAAGAACTCCTAAGGGATATAAAAAGCTATGAATGAGAGCCGAATACTTGGGAACCGATGACGAAAAAGGGGGTTCTTTTATATCTACTTTTCAAAATATTTATTTAAACAGGAAAGTTCAGTTCGGCATAGGGCTGTGTAAGTGACAGTTGAACACCTGTAGAGTACATCATCGTTACACAGTTGCTCTATGATCTTTGACTCTAAATTCCTTCCCTGATTGCAATGCAATCTCCTGGAATAAATCTATCAAACAGAACACGACTCTGGCTGTCCTCTTTGCAGTTTGATTAAGCGTTGGTATTGCTTGTGCTGGTTGAAAACCAGCTTTTCAGTGAATAGCCCATAATGTTTACATCCAGAAGTTTGGATGTAATAATCGGTGTACACTCTAGAATGACACAATATAACACACAATGTATTACAATACAATGCTATGCATAAATTTCTTAGAGCATTGGACCAGGATGAAGGACCACACACACCCATAGGCTACATAATACAAAACGCAACTTAGACTTAGACTTAAGTTGTTGATGCAGATGTTTTGCTAAGGTTCTTTATCTTGGTGTGCAGTTCCGTTTCTGAGAACTCTTCCTTTTTAAAGACACAGCAAGCCACTCCTTCAAGGAGTTGGTGCGCCAACAGCTTCAAAGATTTTGCATCAGCTATAACAAACAAATAAAACACTGATAAATAAACACACTGAACCACTCAAATTAAAACATGAGACACTAAACCAAACAGCCAGCTATTGCAATAACATATATCCATTTAACACATACTTGAATTTTCTACGAAGTTCTTTATGAATATGGTCTGTTTCACATTGAACTTGGCCCTTTCTTTCCTTGTCTTTCTCAACTTCGGTTTTTCGTCCTCTGTCTCTGTAATAACAAAAGCATTTTTCAATTGAAGCAAAGCAAGAACACAATTGAGGATTAAATACCTACCATCTAGCTTTCAGGCAACCTCTTCCTCCTGTCTCCTCATCCTCTCCTTGTCCTCCTTCCATCCTCTTCTTCTCTCCTTTTGGAGGACGATGGAGAAGTTCACTAATTTTAGTGAATAAGCTGGGCTAAGAAGATGAAGTGGATTATTTATTTCAGTTAAACAGATCGTCTTGGATAATTGAACTTTTTACCTGACAGAGAATCTGCTTCTGTCAAGTCTTGGTATTAAGTCTGGACTTTTTGATTTTTGTGGAACTCTGCCTGCAGCTAGGTCATCGTTGACTTCTTTTGAAAAATTGTCTTTCTTAACAACCGTTGTCCATTTGCTTCAAACTTGTAGACTGTGTCCTGGTCTAACTCTGTAAGGTGCTCTGAAAGCTCCGTAAAGTCACTAACACGCTCAGTGGTATCTTGGGCCTTAACTTCCTCCATTTTTATACTAGTTTTTCTCCTTTTTATCGCCCTGGCCTCGAATAGTCTTGGACTAACTGCGAGGGCAAACTTCAAATGTAAATAAGGATGATTCATAAATAAAAACTGTTACTTTGCTGTTACTTTGCTTGAGTTAGTGTTGGCCGATATGCAAGTGGTGTGGCCAGTAAGATTCTAGCTACGAGGCCATGGCCATAGTCCATGTGCGCTATAAGTTTGGCAGCATTTGTAAGCTTTGTCGAACCAAGGATGCAGAAAGGTGTCTCTGCCTTAATTACGCGACTGTTTTCGGTTGAGAAGTGGTATGTCAAGGACTCGCAGGAAAAGAGTTTGCATAATAGCTGGACGTGCCAGTGCCGTTGTCTTCATCGGACTTCATCAGTTTGTTGAGGACGTCGAATACTTCCGGTGATAGTATTATTCCTTTCTTGTTAGCTGAGATCATTTTTACAATGCCAGAAGAAGTTGTTGTGCTGATAATGGACTCGCGAAAGTCACTTCCCTCAACTTGCCTATAGACAAACATAAACCTCCTCTAAACTTTGATGTGGAAACATTTTAAAGCAGTATACTAAAATGTTTGGATTGTGTTTGGTATTGCGTAATGAAATGTTGTAGAAAAATTATAGATGGAGCTTACCTGTCCCTGGATATCCAATGAATATCGTGTAAAGATTCAACGGCTGGTTATGTGTTGTTACATTAACTTTTGCATCGTTGCATGACAGTAGATATGCCATGGTGGTGATAAGTCAAGAGTACCTAACGACAATGCTCCACAAAATAACCGCTCTTCATCCTATTTTTTGACTGGCTGGCAAATTGAATTTTCATGTTCCTGGCTCTGAGATTTTAGAATTTAAGTGCACTAGTGGACCAGATATTTCAGTGCTGGCTGGGAATTTTTCCATTGTACACCTAACTGGGACATCAAATTACTGGGATATGCACTTTGCTGGGAGCTATTCTTGCTGGACAGTGTATTTTAACAGTCTCTGTTGTCATTGAAGCATCTATGTTGACATTATGTAATATAAACCTTTGACAGTTGCCATAGTGTACAGGGATTCTCGGGATAGTAACCTTACTGACCTCTGGTTTGAACTAGTCGGTTCAATGCTCACCGGTTGAATAGCTTGTTCAAGCACTTTCGAAAAAGGTGTCTCTTCTTTTCAACAAATTCACAGAAATTATTACAGGCACTATATGTGACTGCGGGCTTAAATGGGATTCCTGTGGTATATGTTTGGACCATAAATCACTTCAGGCACTATGTGACCGCGGACAGCGGTGGCAGTGAATTTTGATAATTGTAAAATGACAGGGTACTTGCTTCAAACATACCAAAGTGATATGTAATCTTATTATCTTTATAATCTTATTAATTTGTATCTTATTTTTCGTATTTGTTTTCTCCCTTCTGGTTTCTAAAGTCCCCACCAATGTGTTCAGGTCATCAAGCACACCATCATGTACAAATCCATTTGCGATTAATTCCTTTAGAGGTTGAAGATGGAACCTTGGTTTTACAGTATCAGTGTTTAATGCACCATGTTTACGATTTGTCTTTGTCACTAATGGCGTATTGACCTCTTGATCAAATGAAAACTCCACAAGGTGATGATGTTAATATTTTTGAGGGCAAATTCATTGTGCTTTTCTAGATTTTTCCTTTTTTTTCTTTGCACACTTTTTCCTTTGCTTCTCCTTCCACCGTTTTCGTCTTGCTTCATCAGACTTTATCAGACGCTTTGTTGCTAAATCTTTTGCAGAGCAAAGAAGATATAATTCATTGACATCTGATGACACAGCTAATAATTCATTTATATTATCTGAAATGCAATCCTGGCTCAAATTCGATACAGTAGCTGACTACATAGAGAAAATAATGAAGTTTCAGAAAAACCATTTTAAACGTGGTGAATTGTTTACCGAGTTTATAAGAGAAGGGTGCAAAGACTTAGATGGCAAACTTTGTGACTATTGTTCAGAACACCCATGGTCTGGAATGGATATCTAGAATTCCACAGCCTGTCCCAGACAAATTAAATCTGCCACACTTTCTGCTAGTCTGGCAAACAAGCCTGACAGATGATCAGGGAAATTCAAGAATTGTCGATGATTATCAACCTCGTGTACAGATATCTAGTTTATTTGCAGCGGGTTCTTTAGACCTCAAGAATAATGAAAAGATGTTTGCCAAATAGCATGCTGTTGACACTGCATTAGTAAAAAAAAAACACATAGAGCATCTCCAGGACATAGAGCACAGAAAATGCATACGTTCAAAGCAAAGACAATTTGACAAACAAGAAAAAAAAGAAAAAAAGCTATGATAGCTACAAGGTGGGAGAAATTGTCGGTAAATGGACAGTTAAAGAAACTTATTGTGAATTAATTGGAAAAGTATCTTGCCCATCACAAATTAAATAAAACTGGGAAAAAGCTGGACAAAGTGAAACGCATCACCTGTCACATCTGCAGGTCACAACCTCAGAAATTACAAACATTGCAAATCCAACTCATCAACTTGAAACATACTGATTCAAGGCCTGGCCAATTCTTTTGGGAAGAGCCTAAGGTCCTGGGCAAACAGATTTGTACCAAGCGTGTCAGGCGTAGGGTGTGGCGAAAAATGCGGCAAATGCGGCTTGTGATCCAGATTTTTTTTTTCTTCGTGGCTTTTGGGTAGGATATATGGTGTGTAGGATTTTTTTTTCTTGTATGTAACATTTTTTTGGGGCTTAGGGTGGTGCAAGATTTTTTTTCAGGTCCATATGTTGTGCACGATTTTTATTTTTGGTGAAGATGGCTTGCAGGATTTTTTTTCAAAATCATCCACCCCACGGGGTTTCCATGAAAATCGACCAAACGTGTCTCCTTTCTTCTCTCACAATCCTCAACGAGTTCATCAAACTTTATGGACTTTTCCCACAACCAGAAATCTTTCTGAAAAATATGCATAACAACTAAGTGACATAGAACGACTGTTCGTAGATTTATTAAGAAAAACAATGCGACATCTATATAACCGGAGACGAAGAACTAATAACACAATGAAAGGTTGGAATTAACAAGCGAATCAAACCACCAGAATTGCCATTTGAAGCGAATTTTTATTATTACCAAAATAATGTCTATTAATGCTGTTGTATACTATCAGGAAACAAAGACATTACACGGTCGTGTGTATGATTATTTGCCCTAGTTGCCACTATTAGAGCTTCCCGTCTGCGATCCTCCGCGACCCCTTGTATATTGCTGTCGCGTTCCTGGGTTTCTTCTGAAGCACCGGGCTGCGATGTGGCCGTACTTTCGGCAGGCGTAACACTGTGGTGAAGCGCCTCTCCAGGCCCGGCCTCGATTCCAAGGTGTCGAACGAGGCCATGTAGAGGACCCCCATGAAGCTCCTCTACCCCTGGCCGCCTTTTCGACCTTCGCGACGGCCTCAAAGACCGTGGTGTGGTCCTTACTGCCCAACAGTCGCATCACCAGAGATCTGAAATGGTCTTTCGGCAAGTCTATCTTGCTTCTTGCCGTTTGGTACACCAGACGATAGTACTCTTTCTTTCCGTCTTGGTTGCCCCTCGCGGTGTTTTGCAGGCTCTCTAATAATAAATCGACTGCCTCGTACTTATTGAACTCGGAGACTGGGCGGGTTACGTAATCCATGATTCGCTTGATCACCCCTTTGAGCGTCAGTCTTGTTAGTTCTGCTACCGACTTTTCCAGGATCCCAATATTTTTCCGCAGAGTCTACAAAGACAAAGTTTACGGTGAGGAGAAAGTAAATAGAACGACCTTCCCCTTCCCCTTCCTTCCTTTCTTTTTTTTTTTTTTTTTTGTTAATGCCGGAATTTGAAAAAATCTATTCAAAGTATTCCATTTTCATTCGATTCTTATATATTTTTTCCCATTTACGTAATCTATTTCGTTGTACATACTTCATAATTTTTCCCTCCATATCTCATTTCCTTCGCGACGTAATATTTCTATTTCACATATTCTATCTTTATACATTCCATTCCACCTCTCCTTTTTTTCTTTTTCCTCCTTTTTTTTTTGCATCTTTCCCTTTTTTTTATAATAATCACATTTTCCTGACCACAACTATTCGCTTCGCTATATGTTCCCTTTCGTTTCCTGTATTTCATACAAATTTTGCATTTCAATTTCCCATATTCCTTTTTTATATATATTCCACGTTATTTCTCGTATTCCAAACACCTGTTGCATTTCAATTTCACATATTCCATTTTCATATATATTCCACGTCATTTCTCGTATTCCATACACATGTTGCATTTCAATTTCACATATTCCATTTTCATATATATTCCACGTCATTTCTCGTATTTTATTTCATATTACAAATGTTGCATTTTCCTTTCCACGTATTCCATTTTCATATCTTTCATTACATTTTCCATATTTCATTTCACTGTACACATGTTGCATTAGGATCAAATGCTGCCCTTCACTTTTACATCTTCCATTTCGTTTCTCGTATCCCATTTCGTTTTACACGTGGCATTTCAATCTGATGTATTTTACTTTATATCTATATCCCATTTCACCTTTCCATGTTACATTTATTGCATATTGCATTAAATGCACATAATCTTCTTCGTATATACCATTTTATTTTTCATATTCCCTCTACTTCCCTGTGTCCCATTCAAGTTCCAGATATCTTCGAAATTGCATTTTCCCCTTAAAATCCCATTTTACTTCCGTCTAGTGCGTTTTTTTATTATTTTCCTGTTCCATTTTAAAATCTATGAACACAGCTGCATGCAGGAAAATTCACCATATTGCATTTTAAAAACTATATCTATACTCTAAGAAAGCTTACACACATAAAAACAAAAACCTGCTTGATTGCTTTCGAAGAAAGGTAGTGAACGCCTAGACCCGGGCCCAAAATGCAGCACCCAGCATGAAATACAACTACACGACCTACTCGAAAATGTGACACTTCGAACCAGAATTGTACGCCCACAGAAATATACATGGCCAGACAAATAATGTAACCGAGGAAATAAAATATATATACCTTCAGCTGCCCTCCTTGGCCCAGTTGCGGGTTTGGCTCCGGCGGGTTTTGCCCAGCTTCTGCTCGAGGTTCTTCTGCCTGTGCTTCTTCGACGACTGGTTCCTCCGCGTCCCCGGTTGGCTCGGGGTATTGCACTGCGTTGTTCTGCGACATGAACTGACAAAATGTCAAGGTCCCTTGTTCAAAACGACACGCTGAAGTATTTGGGAGTGCCTGCTC